TTTTTTTTTTTTTTTTTTTAAATTAGTAGTTCGATTTTCAAATTTATTTTTCATTTTGTTTTCCTCTCTTGGGATTTAGATGATGGTGACAGAGATTTTGTCGCGATTGGAATTAACATATATTATAATATATGTGAAATGGATTTTTGATGAGTTGGGAAGTTTGGCATAACTTGAAAAGGCTTTATTAGTGGTTGATACTTTTGGAGTGTTTGCGTTTGGGTAATGATGACATTCTACCCATATTTTATGGTTTGTTTTTGGGGTCTCTCATGCAACCTTAACAAAAACCCTCCGTTAGTTTCATTAGTATTAGTATGTGGCGTAATTTTCTTTTATGTAATTTAGATTATGATTTTGTAACACCCCTTTATTTTTATAGGTAAAAATACAGTTTTACCACTGTTTTGTGACCCGGACCGGACCGGCGGGTCGACCCGGGACCCGGTCGACCCGGAGTCGGAACCGGTCCGGGTGGGTTAATTGGACCGGGCAACAACGGACCCGGTCAAACCCGGTCAAAACCCGGTCGACCCGGCCTTGACCCGGTCGACCCGGGGCATTGACCCGGCCGGGTCAACCCGGTTGACCCGGTCTATATGTATTTTTTTTTTTATTTTTTTTTGTTTTTTAATTTTCTTTTCTTTTTAAAAAATAAAATTAGGTATATATTTATATGATAAATATATATATATATTATTACCACTTTAATCTACAAATTTTACATACAAAATATTTAAATTTTTTGTTTTTTTGTATATTTATATATCACAAAATATTCTATATATAATTTTATAAATTTTAAAATTAATTATCCGGTTCAGCAATTGACCCGGTGACCCGGCGGTTGAACCGGTGACCCGGTGACCCGAAGACCTGCCCGGGTCGATTACCGGGCCGGGTTTAAAAACTATGAGTTTTACGCAATAGAATTGGATTTTTCGAAAAACATTTTTAAGTTAAAAATTAAATAACGGGCATTACTCAAAAACCATTTTGAGTACATATCTCCAATTCACATATGCATTAGCGAAATTTTTGTTGTCCAAAGCACATCACAACACCATAATACGAGTTAATTATCAAACTCAATAAAGCAAATCGTACCCCAATTTTCAACCAATTCAAAAAGTCTCAAAATCAATCAATACACGAGTTTTGAAAACGATAAGCGAAAGTAAATGAAAATATTTTAAAAACCGTTAGACCACCCTTGTCACGTCATCGTCACGATCATCAACTCAACCTGAAAAGATAGTAATAACGGGGGTGAGCAACAATAAGCTCACCATGAGAATTACCATGCACATATATTCAGTATAATTACTTAAAATCATAATGACAACATGAACACAAATCACTACGTCTACATCCTATATGGCCCTACAATAATGTGTACACACCTCTCCACCGACATAACCCATCGACGAGAGTTAGTCATCGACATTATACTTTGGTGATTAAAATCACCATAAAAAATCACCATAATAGGCTGTCACTGGCATAATCCATATGTGGGTGAAACACGCACGGACTAGTGGTTCACATGCATACATTGATTATCAAGCCAAGCAATTATAAATAATAAAGGCATGGTAAAGTTTATCAACACCCACCTGTTCAGATAAGACATAAAAGATGCAGCAACGACTCGGTAGGTTTGACGGCTCGACTCCTCAGGAACCTACAGTTAATCAAGGCAATTTTACATAAATAAATTATCTTGATAACTCGAAATTTATGACAATTCTACTTAAGGAGTTTGCGAAATTTGTGGAACTTGAAACTCTCAAATTTGAGGAAAAACTTGGAAAACGTTTAAAATGGCTAAAATTTGAAATGGAATTGACAAAATTAGGAATGTATAAATCATGTTCTTATCTACTTTTTATATAATTCTATCGAAGAAAAAAATGTTATTGTTGGTTTATGAGTGTGTTTAATGAGTTGGGAATGTCAATAGTGTTACTTTGATATGCTTTCTTTCATTCGTAAACAGAAGCATTTAATATGTTCTGAGCATATCTTATAAACTTAAATTTTCAACAGGTGTTCATTATTAAACAGGTGATTATAACTTGAGATCCTAAATTATAGGTTGGAATGTGATGGGTCTGCTCTCAGATCTGGAACGGTTTGATAAGAAAACGTCCGGATCTGGGATGAACCGGTATGAATGAGCTTAGATCTGGCCTGATGACCTTCGAGTCGTTGCTGAATCGCACGAACACCTGCAAGAACTCAACGCCGGAGGGTTTTTCCGGCGTAGAGCCTCCGACGCTCAAGTCAGTATGTGAGAGAGATGATGGGGGCTGCTATGAGAGCAGCAGCAGTAATAGAAATGTATGGAATGAATGGGAGTTAGGGTTTTGGGATTACCTCAGTCCTTTATATAGGAGTACAATATATACCTGAAGTCCCCAAAATGCCCCGGCCGACTTAAGGGAAATGTCCAGAATACCCCGGTCGGTTCATATTCCGCCTATTTCCTAGTCAGCATCTAGATCCTTCCTGAGCTTCCTTCTTATCCTTAATTCTTCTTCAATATGCTGAGGTGTGTAAAAGCTATCGGGCACCACGAGCTACAACTCCCTCAGTCGACCTGAGACATTACGTCGAGTCGACTGGGTCACACTCAACTGTTAGTAGACCCTAATACGTCTGACCATTGTCTTACCAGAAGTCGACTTACTCTAGTCGACAGGTGTACATTGACTCGGTCGAGAGCCGGGCCTCTTGACTGAGTATCATGGAACCTTACTAATGGAGTCGACTTTGCTGAAGTCGACTCGGTAATCTCAAACCGTGACGATATGAACCGTTGTGAGCTAATCGCGGCAATGCCGCGGTTACTGAACCGATGTACGACAGTATGGCCATATCAGAATGGAATTGACAAAATTAGGAATATATAAATCATGTTCTATATTCTTTTTATATAATTCTATCGAAGAAAAAAATGTTAATGTTGGTCAAGATTATACAACACATGTATTAGATATAAAATTAAAATCTTTATAACGAGTCATTATTCCATTCCTTAACCTTTGTTGATTACTTTGATTTAAGAGTTCGATGTGTTTATGGTTCTAGACGCTAATAAAAATGTACTATATTTAGTGATATATTTTATATATGGTTTCAATGTATTACTTTTTTCATTTTATTTTTCAATTACAAAATAATTTTCAAGGCTGAAAAAAAAATATTAGTGTGATATTTTGTAATTACAAAATAATTTTAAAAGTTCGTGGGCCGGTCGTAGTGTACACGACGATGGCCTGCTAGCATTTATATTGATTCATTTTATAACTCTTGCATCACACGCTTAGTACTTACTAGTTACTCCAATTATGGTATTTTGTACTCCCTCCTATTCATTATAAATGTCGTTTTGACTTTTTTGATTCATCCATTTTGTTATGTATCTAGACATATTAATGTCTAGATACATAATAAAATGAATGAATCACAAAAGTCAAAACGACATTTATAATGAACAGGAGGTAGTAATATTATGTAATTTGTCTTGAATAATATATTTATTATAGATATTAATAAAACATATTTGGAGAATATTTTATTTTTGGTGCAAAATCTAGAATGATATTGTTGGAGATTAGCTATTAAAGTTTGATGATA